AAACTTCCAGTGTTGGAGCATTCACCACTTCTGGAGGCAGGTTGTTCCACTGGTTAATTGTTCTAACTGTCAGGAAGTTTCTCCTTAGTTCCAGGTTGCTTCTCTCCTTGATTAGTTTCCATCCGTTGCTTCTTGTCCTGCCTTCAGGCGCTTTGGAGAATAGCTTGACTCCCTCTTCTTTGTGGCAGCCCCTGAGATACCGGAACACTGCTATCACGTCCCCCCCTCGTCCTTCTCTTCGTTAAACTAGACCAGTGGTGGCGAACCTATGGCACGGGTGCCAGAGACGGCACTCAGAGCCCTCTCTGTGGGCAGGCGTGCCGTTGCCCCAGTCCTAGGCCTTCAGCTGGGTTTTATAAAACCTTTTCGCTTTAGGGCTCCGCCGCCGTGTGCAAAAAAAATAAAAAGGTTCAATCAGTCAATTTCAACTTCTCGCGGGAAAAAAAAAGATCTCGCAAAGTTGGAATTGATTGATTGAACTTTTTAGTCCCACCCAGTCTGCCGTTACCACTGCAGCCACACCCACCCAATGGGCCACACCCACCCAATGGGCCACACCCACCCAATTGGCCACACCCACCCGGCACTCAACGATGCATAAGTGGGTTTTGGGTTGCAGTTTGGGCACTCAGTCTCTAAAAGGTTCGCCATCACTGAACTAGATATACCCAATTAAACACGAACAATTAGATTAAAAGCAACTCCAGAGTTAGAAAGAATGTTAGGTGTCATCTGGGTGTACCCCATCCTTGATCTTGGAGAGGTCACCCTTTGTCATAATCTTGGGGCCTCCCTGGACTCACAATTCCTGTTTGAACGGTAGGTGGCGGCACTAGCCGGGAAGTCCTTTGCTCAATTGCCCAGTTGCATCTTTTCCTAGATCAAAGGGACTTTCAGACATGGCCTGGTCATCTGATGGCTTGACTACTGCAACCTGCTCTACATGAGGATGACCTTTGAAGACCAAGCTTCAAGTGGTCCAGAATGAAACAGTGCAAGCTGTGATGAACAGGCCTCAATACACCCGTGCACAAAACAGCTGAACGCTGAGAATGTGTTTGAAAACCTCACCACTTTATGTTCTGCTGATTGACAGCTCAGAATCAGGAAATTTCTCTTCTTGTGGTAGCCCCATAAATATTGGAAGACTGCTATCACATCACCCCTGGACCTTCTTTTCATTAAATTAGTCATAGCCAATTCCAGAAATATGTTTAAGCCTCCAGTCTCCTAATCATCTTTGTTGCTCTTTTCTGCACTCTTTCCAGAGTCTCAACATCTTTTTTACATGGTGGTGATCAAAGCTGGATGCAGTATTCCAAGTGTGGCCTTACCAAGGCATTGTAAAGTGATATTAATACTTCACGTGATCTTGATTCTTTCCCCCTGTTAATGCAGCCTAGCACTGTGTTGGCTTTTTTTTGGCAGCTACAGCATACTGTTGGCTCATATTTAAGTGATTGTCCACTAGGACTCCAAGATCCCTCTCCCAGTTGCTACTATTAAGGCAGGTACCACCTATATCATACCCGTGCATTTGGTTTTTCTTGCCTAAATGTAGACCAGGGGTCTTCAAATTTGACTCTTTTATGACTTGTGGACTTCAACTCCCAGAATTCCTCAGCCAGGCACGTGCCTGGCTGAGGAATTATGGGAGTTGAAGTCCACAAGTCATAAAAACGCCAGGTATCACCTATACCAGGGGTGTTAAAATTGCTGGCCCATGGGCCGGATGCATCACGACGAAACCGCGCCCACCCCATTGCCGGCAATGGGGGAAAAGTTCAGATACGTCGCACGTCACGTGACGTCACGAGTTTGACATGTCTGACCTATACTATACCCGTGCATTTGGTTTTTCTTACCTAAATGTAAAGCACGGGTCTTCAAATTTGGCCCTTTTATGACTGGTGGACTTCAACTCCATGCACGCTGGCTGAGGAATTCTGGGAGTTGAAGTCCACCAGTCATAAAAGGGCCAGGTTTGAAGACCCCTGATGTAGAGCCTCACTTTTCTCACCATGGAAACAGGCTGGCCTAGTTTTTTTGCCAGCAAGCATGGAACAGGGATGTGTTTTCATGATGCTTGGGTATAGGTAGTGACATCACTAAGGAAGCCCTACCCTGCAGGGGGTATTGTTATGTAGGCATGAAAAGCAGCGTTCCACGAGATGCTGGAGGAATTGAACCTGGAATTATCCCACAGGCAAATGGCAGCACCCACCCTCCTGAAAGATAAGGACGCGTTCGATATTCTCACCTCCTCTTCCGGCTGCTCCGCCTCTTGCTGCCTCAGCAAGAACTCCTCCGCCAGCGCTACCGCCAGCGAGCACGTCTCTGCTCCATATCCCCGAATTCGTCTCTGGATCTCCCGAGGAAGGATCTCCAGGAACTGCTCCAGGACCACCAGCTCCAGGATCTGGTCTTTGGTGCGTCTTTCTGGCTGCAACCATCCCCAGCAGAATTTCCTCAGCCGCCTGCAAGCCATTCTGGGACCTTCCAACGGTTGGTAGCGGAACGTCCTGAAGCGCTGGCGATGGGCTTCCTCGGAACTGGTTTGTTCGTCCTGCTTGAAGGCGGGCGGGACGGTGACGATCCTTCTCCCCCGGACGTCCTGCTGGCCTTCCCAGCCCCCCAAGGAGTCCTCTGGGGTGTTTCCCCACATGGAGCAAGACGACTCTGCTTCTTTGAGGAAATTCTGCCACCGGTTTTCCCAAGATGCCATGTTTCCTTCTTCTGGTTCCATTTTAATCTGCGACGGTGTCGCCGCGGGCAAGTCCTCTCCCACAATGCCCGTCACAACGAGCTGGAGGCTCCCCTCAGATTCAGCAGCGGGGCTGCCCGTGGCTTCCTTTTCGGTCTTCATCCTTGGGGTACCCCTGGGATCAAAATGAAAGAAAAAAAAGAGTCATTCATCAATGGATAATTATCAGCGACAATTGCCATCGCTTACCAAAATGGGGCATGGTATCCTCCCCTCGGTGGGACTGTGTGGGGTCCCAGTCAAACTGGGACCCCACACATCGTGACCGACTGTAAGCTGAGGGCCTATGTCGGTCCAGTACAGGTAGTCCTGGACTTACAACAGTTCCATTTAGTGACCGTTCCAAGTTACAACAGCACTGCAAAAAGCGACGTATCCCTTTTCCCAATTCTGGGAATTAAAACTCCACAAGTCTCAAAGTTCCTGAGGTTGGAGATCCCTGTTGTGGATGGTGGTTTTGAAGCCCAATCCAATCTGCACAGGGGATTTGCCTTGTTTTAAGCTAATTTATCGCGCTGATTAAATTATCGTTGTTTTCTGTAGATCAAGATTATATTCAGCCCATATGCCCAAGTATTATGTTTGGATATAAAGTGCAGGTAATCCTCAATGTATGACTATTTCTGTAACTAGAAGTTACAATGGCGTTTTAAAAACTGACCCACTGGTCCTTGCAGTTACAACCACCGCGGGGTCCCCACAGTCGTGTGATCATAATCACGTGATCGAGAGCATCCTGTCGTATCGCATTACAGCCCGGTTTGGAAGCGTTACTGCTTCAAGACAGGAAGGCGGTGCAGAGAGTGGTGAGGACGGCAGAAAATATTATTGGCAGTTCTCTCCCTTCCATCCAGGACATGACATATAAGCGCTGCTTGAGTAAGGTCTGCAGGACTGTCTGGGACGCTACACATCCTCTCCACAATCTGC